TAGCATGCTTAATTGCCCCAGCCCTGTGCTGGCTTGGGATGTTCTTTTACTTTAGCAATTAGACTGTTCTAAACTGTGCTAGCAGAGATAATGCTAAAGCAAGCTAAACAACTAAGTGTTGTCAGAATCCAGGAAGACTCAGTGGTTTGGAAATTATGATTAACTTAATTGTAATGAAACAGCTACAGAAACTCTCTTCCTGCTCTGGATGACCTCAGAGGGACCAAAGGAATACTGGTTCCCTAGATTATGTGGACTTTAAGTGTTGATCATGTTATCCTTGAGTAGAGCTACATCTGAAATAGTTTGACAGGTAAAATACCTCCCTGAGGTGCATGCTGATAAGAACTTCTAGTTACTGTAGGAACAGATGTCAAATGAGCCAGTGATCTATGAAATCATTTCACCTGGACAACATGAATGCATATGGTGAAAGCCACACACACACATATCCTGTTAGCTGAGATTTTGGAATCCTGTGACTTGTTCCATAACAGCAAATCTTTCAGCGTCTTGCTATTTTAACTAGCTAGAATAAATATGCCCTGAAAGCCTTTAGCATGAGAAAACATTACTTCAAAGACATTATGCAGATACTCCAATGTTTTTGTAACCCCTTTATTAATTGGGAGGAAAAAAACTACAGAAATTTTAAAAATGTCAATAATTAAAACTTCAGGTGCAAAGCGACTGGCTATGAAACCCCATGCACATATAGCAACCAAATGTGTCGTTGTACATGCACTCCCAGCTGACCTTCATGCTTCAGTGCTTAAGCCAATCTCAAACTATTAGGGGGTTAAGATGAGGCCCCTTCATGGGGGAGCAGTTTATCCTACATCTGCCTACTGGGAAGTTGCTTGCGCCTTGTTCTGAAACGGTCATAGCCAGGACCTCACACTAGGCTCTGATCCAACATGACAATTACTATGACCTGGGCATGTTTCCTTTCGGCTTCTCAATTCAGAGTTCGAGTCCCAAATTCAAGGCGACTCTTCCGTAAAGTCGCAGCTGTTACAGCCCTGATGCCGCAGCTGTTACAAAATGCTACATGCAGCTTTTTTGTACAGATGGTTGTTCACACCAGCTGTACCCCAAAATGTGCAGCAGAAATCAATGCTGGATAACAGCAGAGAGAGAGGCAGGCTATGAGTTATGGGTGAGAGAGAAGCTGTCTGGAAATATTTGTAGAGAAATTGTTCTGTGTCTAACTGCTCAGTGTGGCTGAAGTAGGCAGAGGGTGAAGCCAGGTGAGCATTGTTGCTGCATCACTGCTCGCACAGACGTGTTCTCTCGCCTTTCCTCTCATTGGGGGGCAGATTCTGATCTCAATCACACTGGTGTAAATCCAGAGTAAATCCCCTGACTTTACTGGATTGACTCCAGATTTACACTCTGGCCCATCATCCTTTTATAAATAACTGGTCATCTTTGCCCCTCTCCCGCTCTGTGCAAAGGTTGATGCAGATCTTGTCTCGGAAATTTTATGGCACAAAGACACAAGTACTTTTTGGCTCCCATGTGTCTTTGCTGCATGACAGCTCCCTTGGGGAAAACTTGTTTAATTAAGCTGCAGATGTGAGGGTGGAAGAGATGTGAGATCCAGGAGAGGATGGAGGTCTGAAAATGTTCACAGTCTGTGTGATAAATGCCACCATATCTTCCCCAGTGATACCAGAAGACTTTCTGGGTTAGGATCTTTTTGTGGATTGTGCTGGAGGGAAAAACCTTTCTAAAGCAAGGACTTGTAATATTTCATGTGCATTCTGTATTTTCCACATCCTATGGCCAAAACTCCAAAGAAAAGTAGAGTCAGTTTCTACTTTTGGAAAGGCACAAAACCCACAATCATAATTAAACAACCAGTCCCTTTAGGAGCTCTGTGTGGCATATGGCCCATGCCACAGGCTCCAAGTTACACAGCCTATTCCATTCCCCAAGATAATCAGCCTGAGGAACAGAGTTAAAATCATTAAAAATGACTGAAATAGTTTCGTAACAAAAAAGACCAGTTGAAATTGCCTTCTTTAGAAATTATTCACTCACATGAAGCAAACTGGGATGCTTCAGCTAGTGCAGAACGTTGCTGCTTCCTTGCTTAGACTACACTGGCTACTAATTTGCTTCCAGATGCAATTTGTGTTATTGGCTTCAGTCACTACAGCCTTGCATGATTTGGGTTCTGGCTATGTCAGAGATTGCAGTTCTCCTCATGCTGCCCCTAGAAAGCAGACAGCAGCTGGGAATCCCCTGAGCTGGAAGCTCTCAGGAGCTGGTGGCAAGGGCCTCTCCACATGGGGTCCTCAGCTATGAAATTTGCTTCCTCCTGTTGCTCTGTCAATCCCCAAACTTGTTGACCTTTGGGGAATGATGTGAGGCTGGTCTGTTTACTCAGGGAGATGGCAAAGCAGAGGATTTCTGAGAACATAAGAATGGCCATACTGGGTCAGACCAAAGGTCCATCTAGCCCAGTATCCTGTCTTCTGACAGTGGCCAGTGCCAGGTGCACCACAGGGAATGAACAGAACAAATGATACCAAGTGATCCATTCCCTGTTACTCATTCCAAGCTTCTGGCAAACAGAGGCTAGGGACACCATCCCTGCCCATCCTAGCTAATAGTCATTGATGGACCTATCCTCCATGAATGTATCTAGTTCTTTTTTGAACCCTGTTATAGTTTTGGCCTTCACAACATCCTCTGGCAAGGAGTCCACAGGCTGAGTGTGCACTGTGTGAAGAAATACTTCCTTTTGTTTATTTTAAACCTGCTGCCTATTAAACTTGTGCAATTGGGTTTGATGCTGGGTGGAATATTTTGGGGTGATTTTTCCTCTTACTTTGTTATTTGGTTGGGAGTGGGGTTAAAGATCAAGCTGCAATGAACAGATTGTTACAAATGAAAAACATTTTTTAGAAATGTAGCCAAGGACAATTTCACCAGGTAATGCTGGCAGTTCCTAGCAGAAATTATTGTTAATGAGAGTTGCATGTAATTTCTCCATTTCTGATGGGCAGCACTAAGAGCGAACACATTATAAATCCTAAATTTAAACCTAATGGATTATTCCAGTTGGATTCCTTTGACAAACAAATTGAGCATTTGGTAAATGCTGTTGCATTATACATCCATTGCTTCTGTTATATATATATATATATATATTGCTTCTCCAATCTTCTTTTGTGCATCTCCTGGAATAACTCAATAATAGTATTTCTATTCTTGGGTGGGTGGGTGGGGGGGGGGAGAGAACACTTTATACTGCTCTGAAAATAGGTGAACATTAATTAATCCCCAGAATAGCTCCCTTCTTTTTCCAAAATGCTGGCTGCTGCAGAATTCTGGGTTCTCCTTGTCTCCCTTCTGGCTATATAGAAAACTGGAACCTGAAGGGCTTTAGATAAGGAGTTGATGGGGTGGCTAATTCTGAGCAGAGACCTAATGAAATAAGTGTATTCATTTGTATATATTTATTAAGCCTAGCTGGAGCTGATGCACCCCAGTTCATGTTACATTTCAGTGAGGTTCCAAAGCTGCAGTTTTGCACTGCAAGGTTTTTGCCAGCCCTGACATCATCACGTCTTCATGATGACTTTCCTAAATGGTGAAGATATTGACAAAAGACAGAGCTAGAAGTTGGTTAAAGAACAAAGTTGAGCGCTGCGGGGAAAATTTACTGCAAACCCCAAAGTTCAGCAAGGCCCAAATGTTCAGGGCAGCTTGGCAAGCTGTATATTGCCTTCCACCGGTGGTCTTACTTCCTCCCCCTCCTCTTCATCCTTCCAACACCGCCAGAGTTTCTGTCTTCCCAATGAAGTAACCAGATGCTCCCTAACGTGTGTCATTTCAGACAGCAATGGAAACACAGTGGAAAATGGCATCATTAAACAATTACAGATTTTTTTTAAACAAGCCCTTGAGATGAGGCAAAACATTCCACTGGCTACAAAACCTCTTTCACTTCCACTGAAACCAGCCAGCTCACATCTCAGTGCTAGAACTTGTAGAAATAGTTCCTGACACAAAAGCATGGACTTTGCCTTTGCGCACTGAAGCAGAGGAGCTGTGGTCCCTCTGTTGCTTAGAAATATACAATAATCGTTCATTTAAAATAAACTGATCTTACTTTGCATGTGGCTATGGTCATTGTCAGAGCATTTTAAAATGGGGTTTGGACAGCAGCTCTCCAGCTAGGACTTGCAAGACCAGCTTTGGAAATGTTACTTTCCTAGGGGTATATGACAACTAAGTGTACGGTCAGCGAAAAACAGTTCAGGGCAACTCAATAAGAGCTGAGTAACTCTGAGTAACAGGGAAGGACATGATGCCACCAATGCTCTCACCCCATTCTGCCCATTGCTTTATTCACTCTAATGAGCATTGTTCTGTGCTTACGTTCACAAACCAAACACATTTCCAGAGGAATCTGCAGGCACCAGACCCAACTTGGTTGGGTCTTATAAACCTTGCTCAGAGCCACCAGCTACTCCAAGGTCATTGCCTTGTCAGTACGGGTGGTTACTCAGCACCTTTGCTTCCTCATCCCTCAAAGCTGGATCCTAGCCCTAGTGTGTGCAAAATGACATACACCAGTAGAGGTCACCACACACCTCATTAAGTGCACTGGCATTGAGACCAATTCCTAACTAAAATCTGAGGCAACAGCAGTCTAGGTAGGTGATGATGTGTGTATATAAAAAAAGGTAAGTAAAAGGGAAGGCCTGATTGTGCTAACTAGAAACAAACACAATGCAGCCAAGTGATGTGCAAGCTTCCTCCACACAGCTCTGCCAATGCCCCCAGCATCCCATCAGTTCTGTGCCTGAACTGACAGTCGTGTCCCAACTGTGTGACTGATGCTGTGAGGTGGGATGGAATAAGGTCATTAAACAAACTTTCACTTGGGACCTAAACCAGGATTCTATCAGTTCTCTTTGATGCATATAGCTGCATTAACCATTACGACTGCAACTTATACATAAAGTATGCTTGCCTCTTAGAAAACCAGGATTCCAGTAGGAAGCCAGAAGCCAGCAGCAAAGCACGGAAGGAGAGGACAGCTTTCACCAAGGAGCAGCTGCGGGAATTAGAAGCTGAATTTGCTCATCATAATTACTTGACGAGGCTCAGGAGATATGAGATAGCTGTGAATCTGGACCTCACCGAGAGACAGGTACCTCTGGAATATCTGCTTCCTCAGCTGTACCCCCTGACAGGGCTATTCCTGCCTGGACAGAAGGGTGTATGTACAATTTATTCACATTGCACCCATTTCTACTTTTGCAAATGTGCTTAAATATTTGTACACAACCTGAAAAACTTCACAGCAAATCTGGCAAATGCATTTTAACATGGAGATAATTGAGAAGCTGATTTCTGGTATTTGGTTAAAAATTTACATGTTTAAATAGGTTTCAGAGGAACAGCCGTGTTAGTCTGTATTCGCAAAAAGAAAAGGAGTACTTGTGGCACCTTAGAGACTAACCAATTTATTTGAGCATGAGCTTTCGTGAGCTGTGGCTCACGAAAGCTCATGCTCAAATAAATTGGTTAGTCTCTAAGGTGCCACAAGTACTCCTTTTCATGTTTAACTATAATTTTAAGCTGCAAAAACCATTTCTGAATCACTGGTGTCTAAGTGGTGTCTTCAGAAGACCTATCCCATTCACTGGCACAAACCAAATGGCTGGTACTTAATAAGAAATGCTGGGCGGCAGCTCCCAGGATCTGATAACCAGGACTGAGCTGAGCCTTCAAGGTCCACAAACACTGCAGCATCCCAAGGCGCCCAGCAGTAAATGAAACAAGGGTGCAGAGGATGTTAGATTCTCATCTGATGAGCTGTCTTCTTTCAGGGTAAGGGAATGTTGTGAACTAACTTGGGAGTATAAGAGTGAGGAGAGTGTGGGCTTTATGAGGGTCACTGTGCTCCCAGTTTCCTAGTCTGCTCTTAGGAAGGGTTCTTCTATCGAGTCTTAATAGTTGGGCAATAAAGGAATTAATCAAGTGAAGAAAGGAAAATAGTATACACTTAGCTGACTCAGATAGGCCTATTAGAAATATGATAGGCAGATGGACAGGTGTATGCATAGAGTACTTCTGGGGGGAATTCTCTGTCACTGCGCGTGCACAGAATTCATGGCCCCCACAGATTTCTGTGCTTCTTTGCAGAAAAATGACTTCTGATGGGGAAGCAAAGGGAAGCCACAAGAGCAGTAATGCTCCCCCTCCCTGGCAATGCAGGCAGGTCGGTTTGGGCACCCAGAGCAGCTGGTAGAGATGTAAATCACCGGGGTGGGGAGGAGCTGGGCAGTCACATGTGTGTGAGACAGAGAGAGAGACTCTGTCCCTCTCGCTCGCTATTGTGGCATGCTCAGCGTGGAGGGGCGGGGCTTTGGAGTGTTTCTGAAGCAGTATGGCCTTATAAATGATTATGGTGCTTTGTTGATTAGAACTGGTCTAAATTTTTGGACTGAAAAAATTTCCTATCAAAATGTGCTCCATGAACTGTTTGCTACTGACCTTTCTGGAGCTGGTCAGTAGCCAGTATAAATCATGAGTTTGAGTTCCCAGCCCTCAATTGCTCGCTCTTCAATTGCCTATGATGTAACACTGAGCATATGGCTGCATATATTTTTTGCCTCATAACTAGAAATAAAGAGTCAATACTAGCTACATTACTAATAGATAGAGGGGGTTTGGTGATTTCCTCCAATTCTCCCCACTCCCATTCTCCATCCATTGTGTTGTAGTTTAAATAAATTATCAAAATAACTGAAACCAGCTTGATTATATTGTGTTATTTCGACCAAAAATATGTAGAATTTTGCAGAATTTTAAAATATTGTGTGCAGAATTTTTAATTTTTTGGCACAGAATTTCTCCAGGAGTAATAGAGAGACAAGAGAGACACCTTTTATTGGCCCAACTTCTGTCAGTGAGAGAGACAAGCTTTTGAGCTTACACAGAGCTCTTCTTCAGGTCTTCTTCTTCAGAAGGGCTCTGTGTAAACGCGAGAGCTTGTCTCTCACTGACAATAAAAGCTATGACCTTACCCACCTTGTCTCTCTAGTATCCTGGGACCAACACGGCTAGGACAACACTGCAAAGGTGCATGCAGAGACAGACAATGGGGAGCTGATGAATAATTCCTTCCTTTTCTCATCCAGGTTAAAGTGTGGTTTCAAAACCGAAGGATGAAGTGGAAACGTGTGAAGGGTGGGCAGCCAGTGTCCCCTCACGAGCATGACACAGAAGATATGGACTCTGCTGCCTCTCCGAGCTCTGAATAGCTCCTCACCAGTAGTAACGCACTGACAAATGCAGGAAGGGTTGTCAGTCAAAGAACTGACGCCACACAGTTTAGCAGCAGCTGCATCATTAACAGGTGCCCCTCCCTGCTCAAATCATCTCATCCTCCTGTGACTCCGGAAGTGGTGAGCCTTAACATGCCTTGGGGACTGTAAAGGGCACACAAGAAAGTCCAGAGAAGGGTCTGAATGAACTCTCACCACTGCCATCTTGGCAGTGCCAGTATTTCTTCAAAATAATAACTAAGCCCACTGACTATGAAACAAATAAAGCTGACTAGAGCTGGATTTCTAAGAACCAATACTGGTCTTCAAGTCCTCAAAAGACGCAGTTTAGAGGCACCAGTTTAGGGTTCAGTGGGGCAGTAATGTAGCTCCCCAACATATAACCTTATCCAGCATCTCTCTTTGGTCACTGCTATTTGTTAAACTTGAGTATTCCACAGAAGTGCTTTCTTCGTACATCACTCCACAAGTAACGAACATTCTGGTATCTACTGATGTTTCTTGTGTCATCCAAACTGAAAATATAAATGGTTATAAGCAAGTCTGGGGGGCAGTGGGAATGTCAAACAAAAGTGTGTCCCCAAATTCTATATAGGCCTCTGGCCATTGGTTTTGGAAGGGATCATTCTCACAAGGACAAGGGCTCCAATTAGAGCTGAGATGGCAGGCACCTTGCTGATACACCTGTGTGAATGAGATACTGGAGGTTTGTTTAATTAATCTTAGTGTAGCTGCTGAAATCAGAACATTAAATCTCACAGGGAATATTTTCATAACCACCGCCACCAAGTGTCAAACCAAACGGAATGAGGTCATGAATCATCACTGTTCTGCCCTGGACACTGAAATATAGCTGGTTATATCTTCTGAAAGAACTCTGCTCCTTTCTGATGTGTTTGTCACACTTGTTTCTGGAATGCCTCTGGGTATTACCTGCTGTTTCCTTTGTTACAACTCAGGACTATCTGGGTGAGCAGAAAACAGTGTCCTTTGAAATGATTAGTTGAATTTATCAGTCTTAAGTTCTTGTTTCTTTTTCTCTTGGGATCAAAACTTTCTTCCAATAGGCATGCAGGTATGTTTATGTGAATTATGTCTGAATATATATGTCCATAATGTTCTATGGATAAATATTTACTATAGATGCACTCAGGGCTGGATTAACTCTCCTGTGGGCCCAGGGCTATTAGATTTTGTGGGGCCCCTGTATACAAGTCTTTTCCCTAATTTAAAACAAAATGATCACAATTATGGCGTAGAGGCTATTAAGTCTATACTAAACTTGCCTTTTAATCAACATAAAGCCATTCTGTGGTAATATTTCAGTCTTAAAACATGCAGAATATAGTTAAATTAATTCAAAATAGCCTACTTCTTACCTTAGAACAGCTGTTATATTAGTTTATTTCTGGGAGGGAGTTTGGGTGCAGGAGGGGGCTGGGGTGAGGTGGTGACCTGGGCCGAGGTGACCTGGGGCAGGGGTGAGGTGCAGCCTCTGGCTGGGAGGCGCTTACCACAGGTGGCTCCCAGCCGGTGGCACAGCAGGGCTCAGGCCCTCTCCATTCCCAGAAGCAGCCAGCCGCTGGTACGTCTCTGCACGCTCCTGGGGGGAGGGGGACAGCGTGTCTCTGTGCGCTGCCCATGCCTGGAAGCACCACCCCCACTATGAGGACGGTGGTGGGGGCAGGAGCAGCGTGCGGAGCCGCTGCCGCCTCTCTTCCCCCCTCCCCCTCGTCAGGGGCCGCAGAGACGTGCCAGTAGCCGGCCGCTTCCGGGAGCAGCGTGGGGCCACAGCATGCAGGCAGCCTGCCTGAGCCCTGCTGTGGCTGGGGCCCCCTTTAGCCCAGTGCCCTGGGCTTCAGCCCCTAAAGCCCCTGCGTTAATCCAGCCCTGCATGCACTCCTAATCAATATTCAAGATCATCAAATTAGTAATTAATCATCTAACGAACTTAGTCCTTTTTTTCTGTTTCCAAACTTTCCACAGACAGACTAATTTTTGTGAATGTATTCACTGTTTGCAATTGTTTGAACAGTTTATGCAAACAAATTTTAGCCTATGGATTGTTTGCAAACTATTTGCTTTCATTGTTTATGCTGTGTGATTGGTTGCCTATGCTGCATGGTATTGTTTCTGCTTCCTGATTAGATGACAAAAATTTTTAAAACAAAGGAGCCTAGCAAACCACAAGTGAAGAAAAGGAAACACGTAATAATCAATTATCTTGTTTGTGCACATCCTCTTCAGCATGTGAAATCAGGTGCTAGTAGGAAGAACAGCCATTCCCCAAACATCCATGTGAGTAAAAACATGTTCATACAAATGTTCATGGATATTGAATTAAAAGGAGCACAAACACAGGCAAACTGACCAGCTGTCTGGAACTCAAATGAAGGCGCATGAAGATTATTTTGCAGTATTCAGCCAGCTCTGTTATCCACCCCATGATATCACAGAGTCTGAGCCAGCCCCAAAGTGACAGGAAGTGAGTAACAGCCCAGCTTCCATTTAGGCATTACAAGAAGTAGCTCCATTTTGAAGAGAGCTCAGCATGGTGGGTACACATTGGCTGCCAAACTCCATTAAAAATCTGGCCACTCATTTAGGTGCTTAAAATAGGAGATGAGCAAGAAATGGACCTTTAGTGACCTCTACTGATCTCAGATCTGCACTGGAGCACTAGTAGCCAGCTGATTTTATGAGATGTGTCTGAGGACAGGATCCAGCCAAAACAATCCATAAACCATGCGGCAATTTGATATCAGTGGTGTTTGTTTAACCTCATTTAAATCAGCAAACACCAGATTCGGAGGGAAGCACGAGACTGCCACCTTCATGCACAATGGTCATGTACCATGACATAGTCCATCTAGCATGCTCTGGGCTTCCCAGGAGCTTTGAAGAAGGTGCAGTCTCTGGAGGATTGCTGCAGCACTACCCACTTTGCAAGGCCTCCTGGTACAAAGAGAGAGAGTCCTGAAGAGACACAGTTAGGACCTAATTCACTTGAGTTATAAAATATCTGATGCAAGTGTTTTGTGCAAACATGCTGCAAAAGTACCAATATGATACCAAGCCAGAAACACACTGAAATGATATCACAGTGCTATCATTCCATCTAGAACTGTCTGGAGGTGTTTCTCAGTGATTTGGGCACCTCCTAATTTAAGACAGTTCTTTGCCAAGTTGCCAACAGGGCACTTTACCTATAAAATGCCCTGAATGTTGACACCCCCGTTCCCCCCCTTTTATAGTGTAACTAATCCTGTTACAGTTGCCAATGCATTGCTCCGATTTTGTCTCAAGATATTTAAATGCCCTGAACATCCCCAGCTGTCCCAACAATGCCACCTGAAATTGGCCCCTTTTCACCAAAGTTTGGAGTATATCAAATTATAAATAGTTTTAGAAAAAAATATGGTGTCTATTCCTTTTGTTTAATGTATTCTAATGTAATGTTTCCATATTGTAACAGAATCTCTCTCTAACTTTCTTAGAATTATATATGAAATGTTGAGTTTTTAAAGGACTGAAATTCATGTTTAAACATTTGAAGGTAACATCTATTTGCTATCAGATTGTGTCATGCTATTTGCACATACCTGCAAGCCAGTATCATACTGTTTGTATTTTGATGTTACTCTGATGCACTGATAATGACAGACCCTGTATGTTCTAGCAAACTCCAGTCTCTGTTCTTTATTCCCAATGTATAAGCTTTGCAGAAATGGTTGAAAGCCCAGTTTCATATCTGAATTGTCAGTTAAAAAAATTATAACCATGTTACACTTTGCAAAAGATGTCCAAAAAATAAATACAAAAGTTAAAGTTACCAAGAGTCTGGGATCCTTTTCCAGAGCTGAGAATTATTGTGTGTACTGAGCAAAATCATCTATTCAGATCCTTTTCTTTTAACATCTCCAACCTTTGTATGACTGATGGCAATGCACAAAGTTAAAATGTATATAATGATTTTAAAAATAAAGTAACTTGGTGAGGGAAAAGTTATACACACTATTTTCCTATTCAAACAATAAAGCCCATAAGAGAATATAGGTCTGTATAGAAATTTTAGAGGACATATTTTTATGTTCAAAAATTTTTAAGTCTCTAAAACTTTCCTTTCCATTAATCAAGAGACAAGGTAAATGAGGTAATATCTTTTATTGGACCAAATTCTGTTGGTGAGAAAGGTCCTGAAGAAGAACTCTGTGCAAGCTTGAAAGCTTGTCTCTCCCACCAACAGAAGTTGGTCCAATAAAATATTTTACTTCACCCACCTTGTTTCTCTCATAGCCTGGGACCAACATGGCTACACCAAAACTGCATACTTTCCATTATTCATATTTCTATTGTATGCTTGAAAAAGTAAGATTACTGACAACTTCACCGGCTTTCAACAGGTGACAATGAAATGTCACGACAGCTTGGGAGATGTTCAGATAATGGGCAGCAATGGCCTGTAATTCTCAAGACGTTCATGAAAACCCTTAAAAGCATCAGCTGGAGGCATGAACACATATCCCAGTTCTGTGCTCTCCTCCCAATACGAGGATGTAAGTGGCACACGGCCCTTGTGCCGGCCCTGTGCACAAGGATGAATTTCACCCAGTGAGACAATGAGTGCACACAATCTCAGGATGTTCTTTCCTACTCCATTTTATTGGTGCTAGCACACAATTGCTGTACATCCTGAGCAAAGACAGCTAAAGCATCAGTGAAGCTTCACAGAGCCGACTCCACTGCCCTGAGTGCTGCTGTGTTCATGAGCCTTAACCCTGACACGTACACACTAAGCCCCCTGTTTCAGAGGAGTGTTCAAAGTCACTTCTCAAACAGGTGGACAGATCTCCAACCACAACCAACATCTACCTGGAGTCCCTCTGTTTGAGATTCTCCATCTAGAGAATACTCATGCCTCCCCACCCCCCCGAAAAGAAAAATTAAAATAACTCCTGCACTGAACATAAAAAGGATTTCACAGTGTAGTCATGACTTGGCAAGTCCTCCCCACTAGCACCTTTTAACAATTAAGGGAGCATCTGCACTAGCTAGCTTATTCTGAAGTCAGATATTACTGAAATGAAATATCAGCTTCATTTTTTCTGACTTCTTTCCTGCCGATAGGCTTGTGTTAGTGTTTGTTGGATGGTTTGTATATTTATGAGAAGACACCCTACCTGAGATCTTGTAGGCAGAGAACTCTATGCTGCAGCAGTAAAGAGTTGGGCTCATAATGGTGGGTTCCTGACAGACAGCAATCAGTGCTAAGGACTGAACCTAAAAGCCCTAGACAAGAACTCACTAGATGGAGGCAGAACCCAGGCTGGCAGGGAGCTGTCTAACCTGGCAGCAATGGGCTGTTGTTGTAACCTAAGCAGGGCCTTTCATGCTTTCTGATTGCTTAAAACTTAGAAGGTGACTTTTAGTTAAAACCTGCTTAACTCAAACTCCCAACAAATGCTTAAGAGAAAAGCTCTTTCTGTTTAAGTGCTGGTTAACCATGCAGTTTCCTGTGAGCATTTGATTAACAAACTCTCCAAAGAGGATAATTCCTGGAGGATATCCCAGGTCTTTGGGCTATTTAACTCCACATCTAACTCAGACACACATCTCATCTTCATTCTGAGGAATGGGACATTCCATATGGTGCATGTGTGCTCTTATGCTCACTTCCCCATAAGCTGCAAGGGCAGTATTGCTATGTGCCCCAGCCCATAACTGTATTTGGGCAGTTCCTAAACTGCATCCAAAGCTGGCTCTATGCTAAAATCTGCTGGGGCCCTGACTGCTGACAGAACAAGCCAAACCAAAGAGCAATTCAGACTGACTCCTCACATTGGAAAGAGGATAATAAATCTTCCCACATGGAGAAGCAGTCCACAGCGGTAGGTTGGATTCCAGTTCCATGGCCCTACAAAGTGTGTGAACAGGATCTCAGTGTGTGCCTTAAATCACAGCTTCCAAACAGGAGTGACTCTTGAGAAATAACGTACAGTCACCTGTGAGCCAGGCCCATTTGATGCTGGAGCTTCCACATGAAGCCATCTGCTCATTCTTCAATTTTAGTGTTTTGTGCAGGAACATTTAATTCCTGACATCAAAGCTTTTGACCCTTGAACCTTTGGTGCCAAGAATCTTTCAGGAAAAGTCAGTCATCTGTGAGCAAAAGCTCTGACCTGCAATTATTTTTCTCAGAA